CTGCCGATGCCTCTGCGGGATCAGTTCCGCTTGTGGCATCCACCGGCGTTTCCCGTGCCGCAGGCTGCGCCCGCTGTCGCCGGCCCTCCTGCTGTGCGCCCCCAAGGGCAGTCTCGCTCTGTGTTTCGCGTGAAACCCCTTGCTAGGCAGTTGGAGACTGCAGCTTGATCTTCCCGTTAGTCTCTTTTTTCCAAGTTGCTCAATATTAGCTCTCTGGGCCATGCGAGGGCCATTGCAGGGGCCAGTACCAAGGGAGAAGCAGCTTCCCAGGGGCTTATTATACAGTAAGGCAAAGTTTGATTGCAAAAAAGACCAATTTGTAGAATCTGGGTTCAAGAAAAAAGACCGCAAATCAAACCGCATTTTCTCTTCTAAATAGTTGCCACTGATATAACTAATGTGGCAGCAACTGCATTCGAGAGGTTGGCTGTAAAGGGTTAAGAAAATACAGGAAGTCAAATGCGAAAAGTGCAGTGGACAGTCAAGTAATTTTCCAGATCCTGACAGCAGACTATTTGTCATGAAGTCAGGTGCCTTTTGACAAGGCTTGGGAAGAGGCCGATGTTGGAATGAATGCAAATGTTTAAAATTGACATGCTATTAAAATTGCTATTGTAACAGTGCTATTCATTTTCTCTTCAGAACTCCCCGGGATAGAAGGACTTTGCTTTAAAGTGGAAAGCTGTTTCAAATCTTGCATAAAAACTGGGTTGATGCCTGAGATATAGTCTTTATGAAAGATACCTTGCAGTGGTAGAGAACCTCACATGTAAAATAACAGTCCTTCCCTCATATGAGCTCAGGATGTATGAAATAACACCTTACATGGAAAAATTAATATATTACATGGTAAAGATTCTGTTTTGAATCTTGGATCAGAAATAAGCTGCTGTAGGTAGTAAGTCATTTGGTCTTGCATCTGCTGTTGACCGTCCTCTTTTCATTGAGTTTACACGTCCAAGGAAAAGACACTTCAGTTATTTTGGAAAGGCACCTGTGTTGTGGGCTGGTACCTCATTGTGGCAAGAAGGTGATGATGTACGAAGGCTTAATATTTACAAGCCTCTTCTTCAAAGGAGGTAATAGACCAATAATGCGGCTGATATTTTGATGGGGAAGTAAGTTAGGGCAGTAAAATAAAGATGGCCCCTCTCTGCCTCTGGAACAAATCTTTTTGTTAACTGACAGAGCAGAGTTTTCAAAATCCTTCTTTTTCTTTTTTCTTTCTTTTTTTCTTTTACTCTTTGGTCTTGCTGGTATGAACCTCTTCTGTACTGGACGTGATCCCTTGCAGAAACTGCTCTTATTGACAGTAAACAAGACTTTGTTTAACGCGTTCTCAGAGCCCGTGAAATCTTGCTTGAAGTAGAAACTGAGCCAGTCTCTGACAGGTAGCGAGCAGAGCAAGTGAGCTGGTTCAAGGTGGTGGCATTCCAGAACCAGTTCCAGTTTGTTATGAAAGTAAAGCTACCTTTTTATTCTTTGACCTTGTTTTTCATCATGAACATTCAGAAAGTACTCACTTTTTTTTTCCGGTTATAAGCGTCTTTTAGACATTAATGAAGCCACTCTTATAATATGCCTGTAAAGTGGGGGAAGTAATGGATTTCACAGTGTAGGTAGAATCTTAATTATACTTAATTTTTCCAAGGTCAGAGAGGAAGTGTGCAGGCTACTCCTTTCACAGAGCTGTCTTGAGTGTTGTCCTTTGTGTGTAGTAATTATGTGTACAAAGCAGTAGCTTAAGTTAGCAAAACTTGTGTTTTTTGTAGTATAGCTACTGTCATTTTAGTTAACCTAAATCAACAAATTGTGCAATTTAAACCATACTTCACAGGAGTAGAGGGAAACGGGGATCCTTCAGTTCCCAAATCTGTGTCAGAATGGTTCATTTGGAGTAGCTGTCATCAGGAAAAATGAAAACTCTTTATTTCCTATTATGAAGGGGCTGAAAAATAACTTGTCAATTTTCCATGCTATTCAGCTTTACAGATACTAACCTTGTAATCCTCATTGATGGAGAGGAGATAAGTTCCCTTGATTTCAAACAGAAAAAGAGAATTCTTTCCTGAATTGTCCAACCTGGTTTACTGCATTGATTTTGCTCGGTTGCTTCATAATTTCAGTCATGTCCGTGCCAGGAAACTTGTTATGACTTTTTCCCAATCCCTTTGGATGACACAGGGCCTTTTTGTTTCTTGGTCTGTTTAACAGGGCTCAGACCATCATGAAGGCTCGTTTGAAAGGAGCCCAAACAGGTCGTAACCTCTTGAAGAAAAAATCTGATGCTTTGACACTTCGATTCAGGCAGATCCTTAAGAAAATTATTGAGGTAGGTAAACTGGAATTTTCCTATATTTAGCTCACTCCATTTAAAAGTTCTCTGTTATATGTCAGTTGTACGTTCCCATCCTGCTAACTTCATAAGGTAAGCTAGAATGTAGTACAACTTTGTGTATAACCTGTGTTTTGTAAGTGAGGCTACTGAGGACAAATAAGCAGAAGTATGTTTTCCTGGCTGCGATGGTACTGAAAATCTGTAAGACTTAATATTCTTCCCCTCTTTCCAACTAGCGCTAGATTCTCTTATTTTATATCTAGAGTTTCCTACTGCCTGCTCTGCTACGTTACAGGGGGTTTGCTGTGACAGTGCTAAGTGCTGTAGGAGTGGATTTAACATGTTCTGTGGTACTATTTTTTTTTGCTAGAGAGCACACTGCAGATCTGTGTTTCCTGCATGATCAGGTACACCAGGAGGTAGAGACAAGAAGTTTCATCCAGATCGAATTTCTTTCTTTATAAAGAAATGCCAAGTCCTGTTTCCTGCGCTCTTTGCAGCACAAATGACAAAATACAAGATATTCAGTAGAGCCTGGTGTGGCTTGTTCTGTCCTACCATACTAGATGGGATTCATCTGTATTGTTTAGACTATTACTGCTGCGGATGGCCAGGGTTAGCAGTAGTACTTTGTTATCATGCTTTAGACAAGCTTTTGGCACTCTTACGTCTAGTTGCCTGTAGACAAACAGAACAGCAATGCACTGGCTGATACACAAAGGCTCTTGCTTCTGAATAGCATATTTTTTTTAGCGCCAAGGGACTGAAATGTGTAAAAATAGGAAAACTGGAGCAGGAGGAGAGAGCAGCTTCACTAAGCTGCATACATCTGTATGCTGAACAACAACTTAAGATATCTTACATTATTCAGTACAATATCAGGTAAGAGTGTTTTCCCACTGTGCCATTATATTGTTGTGAATTAACGCTCACCTAGTATGGTTTTCTGCTGATAAAGATAGTCAAGTCTTTCGCAGTTCTGTGAGTTCTTACACTGACTCATTTCCTACTGCCTGCTCTGCTACGTTACAGGGGGTTTGCTGTGACAGTGCTAAGTGCTGTAGGAGTGGATTTAACATGTTCTGTGGTACTATTTTTTTTTGCTAGAGAGCACACTGCAGATCTGTGTTTCCTGCATGATCAGGTACACCAGGAGGTAGAGACAAGAAGTTTCATCCAGATCGAATTTCTTTCTTTATAAAGAAATGCCAAGTCCTGTTTCCTGCGCTCTTTGCAGCACAAATGACAAAATACAAGATATTCAGTAGAGCCTGGTGTGGCTTGTTCTGTCCTACCATACTAGATGGGATTCATCTGTATTGTTTAGACTATTACTGCTGCGGATGGCCAGGGTTAGCAGTAGTACTTTGTTATCATGCTTTAGACAAGCTTTTGGCACTCTTACGTCTAGTTGCCTGTAGACAAACAGAACAGCAATGCACTGGCTGATACACAAAGGCTCTTGCTTCTGAATAGCATATTTTTTTTAGCGCCAAGGGACTGAAATGTGTAAAAATAGGAAAACTGGAGCAGGAGGAGAGAGCAGCTTCACTAAGCTGCATACATCTGTATGCTGAACAACAACTTAAGATATCTTACATTATTCAGTACAATATCAGGTAAGAGTGTTTTCCCACTGTGCCATTATATTGTTGTGAATTAACGCTCACCTAGTATGGTTTTCTGCTGATAAAGATAGTCAAGTCTTTCGCAGTTCTGTGAGTTCTTACACTGACTCAAACAGCTTTTTCTTTTTTTTTTTTTTTTTTTTTTTTTTTTGCCAGTCACCTGGGAATTATGATTTCTGGTTTGAGATATAGAATTTCCTCTGTCTTAAATTCTGTATTGTTTTCTTGATGCTTTTAATTATCCATCCTGCAGAAGGAGTAATGTGCCTTATGTTTGTTGCCTCCTCCCCACCCCCCCCGCCCCCCAGACTAAGTTGCTGATGGGTGAGGTGATGAGAGAAGCTGCCTTTTCACTTGCTGAGGCAAAGTTCACAGCTGGAGACTTCCGGTGCG